AAGATCGATGGTTGTCGTTTTCGGACCCGTACTATGTACGGTGCACATTTGAAGTGGGCAATGCAATTTTGCACGAAAAGTGCACGGGACTTAAATTATGTACGGTGCACGTATTAGTCAGGTTTTAGCAAACCGCAGTCCAGGGGATTGTCTTGGGGAGTGTGAGTGGTAAGGGAGCAGGATTGCTCATTATGTCTTCGGGGGTTGGCTAAACCTCCAGAGTGGTATTTGGTTGTTGGGGGAACAACAAGTACTCTACTCGAATTGTTGAAAGGCCTAGTCCTGAGGTTTACTAATTTTGGATGGGTGGCAACACCTGAGAGGTTCTCCTCACGAACAGAACGATAATCAATAAAGAAAAATAAGGATATTGGTTTTTTAAACTAAACTTTCATAGTTTTTTTGGTCTGCTTTGAATTTGGTCAAAAGTCATTAAATTCTTCTATTTTGCGATTCCCTATCCATTCGTAGTCCGGAGATTGTCTAGAGTGAGTGAGGGATAGTGGACTTTCAAGAGCTGGTTTAACTTTCAAGTTGTGTTGGGCTTGGTTGTTTGGGTGGTTTAATGGTTTTCCAATTCTTAAATAGAATAAATTATGCCACTTTCAAAATAAAAGAATTTTTGCTTTTTTTTAGTGATTTTTTGGTCGCCCAGTTGTTTTTTCACAATCAGGGATTGTTCGGCAGGCTGGCTGCAGGGCTTGCAAGTGTTGGTTTAAACTTTTAGGAGTTGGGCTTGGATGTTTGGAGAATATTCTCATAAGTTCGAGAATTGTGTTTATTCAATGATTGGAAAATGAACTTTAACTCAAAAAACATGAAAATTCATCCGAAAACTGCTCTGTAAAACCGTATTCGTTGAAAATCTGAAGAAATGTCTCAAAGATGCACGCGACGCAACACGCGGACGCGTTAGACGTTGGTTATATTTTCTCTCCATTCATGTTGTTTTTAATTTCTTTACAATTATAATATATATTTTATTTTAGTTCCCGTTATATATGATGTCGATTTTCAAATATAAGGACAGTGTATTCAGTTCTTTTGAAGACTTGGTAAGTCTTAATCTAAGCAATAAAAGAACTATTAATATTATGTTTTAGTTAGAAGCAATGAAGATGGACGGTATTGTAGAAGAAGTAGATGATTGGGAACTTCAAAAATATGTGAGTATATATATTTTACAAAATTATTAGAAGTGAAAATAGATTATTAACTGAATTTATTTAGAATTCGTTCAAAGAATACAATGCTGACGAATTTCTCAGAATGGCTGAGAAGTATCGAAACGAGTGTCCTCCGGACTTGATTCGATCTAGTGAGAAGCTTTGGTTAGCTGTTGTCTACACTGTCAAATTATTCTACCTGAACATAGATGTTCATCTCGCATCTCATCGTTCTCTCTCCTACTTCTATGATATGGCCGTTAAAAACATGTTGGTTGTTCCGTTAGCAATCCGTCTAGATAGAGCTTGGAGCAAAGCTGAAAAGTATGTTTTTCAATTTTTTTTTAATTTGTAAAGCATTAAGATTTTGAGATAGAAGTAAAATTTTCTGAATTAAACTTTTTTTATTCATATTAAATCAAAAAAGTCCTCTTTCTCAATCTTATTGTTTTAAAAATTGATTAAAACTTTATTGATCAAATCTACTTTGGAGTTAAATATTTTAACATCTTCCTTATTTCTGTTTCAAGACTTGTTTAATCAATACTTCATTTTTCTAATTTAGGCTCCATTCATTCGCTTATGGGACATGTGCCTTTTCTGTGGCACAGTTTCCCGAATTATTCGAAGAAATTAAGTTCTTCGTAGAGGAATTCCCCAAAATTGACAGTATCAAAGTTCAGTCGGAAGTGAACGAGCTCATAATGGATGTTGCTACCGAAAAGAGGAAGGATATCGACTTCACTTTGTTCACTGATAGAGCGAAGCCTACAATAGGTAACAAACAGTTTAGTCCAAAGTACACATTTTTCTAATGCTTTCTTCACTTTTTCTCATTTATTCCTGTGAACCAAGAGATGTTGGTTTGAGAGAGCTTTAAGGTTTCTATCGTTTTTCTTCATTGTTTTTTATTTCTGAACATACACATGAATGCCCAGGTTGTTCTCTTAGTGCAAACGAGTTCAATTGTGCAACTTGATCTATGTGTCAGTATACCCATTGGCCTTGTTCCTTATTGATTAATATGGTTTTTGTCATATAAATTCTATTTATTGATCAATATTTGTGTGACCACTAGGCGTAATGATAGCTCATTCTGCAATTTGGTATTGGAATGCATCATGGAGGTTTTTCGACTTCCAAAATTTGAAAAGGCAGAATCAGCTCACAACATGTGCTCTATTGCGAATCTCTTGATTCGAATTGTAACAACAAACAAAGATTAAACAGTTATTTATATACTTTATTTTAAAATTTCCGAGTTCTTCGTCATCGGGATTCATCCGGTCATCTCAACGCTGAGCTAAGCGTATCCTGATCATTAGCTTCTTGATCGATGTGCTCAAAATCATTCTCCATGTCTCAATGTCGTCCTCATGTTCATACTCTTTCTTACTCATACTCTATTGATTTTTCGTATCTTCGCTTACGTTGCTGAACTTAAAGGTTATCGCTTGATTTCCTGTTTGAGTCCTTATGTTGTCGTTTGTACTATGCAATTTAAGCAGCATTGGCTAAATCTGTGGATAGCCCGATGATCCCGGTGGGAGATTCACTTCAATTCTCAGTTCTGGGAGCAATTGTTACCAGGTGATTTTTTTTTCTTTAAGTAGATAATCACTTAGAGCATAGATTAGAAACTTTAAGCAGCGTTTTAATGAGAGAGATTCTCCTGCTCGGTTGATAGGACTGTCCACCGCTCCAGTCAATGCTGGTGATAATACTGATTGGTTAGAAATCAAAGACGTAGCAACTTTGTTTGAAATTTCGGTCATCGTTCATTGATTTCAGCAACGTCCTTTTGCTGTCCATCTGTGCGACCTGTACCTATCAATGTTCACATTCAAGGTTTCCCTGGGCAACATTACTGTCCTAGGATGGCTTCAATGAACAAACCGGCATTCAATGGTACTGAACCAAGATATCATTCATTAATGTTCGTGTTTAGCAATTAGTATCTGTTCGTCGTTTGAGCCTGTTACAGTGTTTG